GGCCGCCCCACTTAGCAGCCTTGGGCCCTGAGCTGCTTTCGCTTTCTTTTCTGTGAAAACCACTCCTGCCACAGATGGCGGCCTCGAGGTTGAGAACAGTTGCCCTTTGGGGGACCGACGCTACTGCCAAATTTAGGGCTAAAATCCCCGGTTCTACACTTCAGTCGTTGTGTAACCTCAGTCAGTTACATCTGTACAACGGGCATAGCCATAACGACTTCGTGGTATCATCACAAGATCACATGAGATACAGTCAGTCGAGTGCCTGGCATATCAAAAAACAAAAGTTAATGTCAGTTCCCTTTTCTGCTGGCCTTCCCATTCCCATGACACTGGGCCCTTCCTTTCTTGAGCTGGAGTCAGGTTCCCCTCTGGCTTGACAACAGGTGTTGAAAGCCCTTGATATGCCTTCACTGGGCTGAGATTATCAAGATGCATTAAACCCGATCACCTCTCTGGGGTGAAGGTGGAAGTAAGGACAGGAGAAACAAAATGCCGATTAATACACGGTTGCTTTGGGTATCGTGAATAGTCCTGGCAGACCCTGTAGATGGTGTACTATAAATGAGTGATCGGGCTGGGTTCGGTGGCTCAGCCTGTAATCCCAGCACTTTGGGAGGCAGAGAGGAGTGGATTGCCAGAGCTCGAGGGTTCGAGACCCGCCCCGGCAACTTGGTGAGACCTTGTCTCTACAATAAATCAAAACATATCTGTGCGTGGTAGCGCGCGCCTGTAGTTCCGGCGACTGGGAAGGCTGAGGCGGAAGGATCGCCGGAGCCCAGCGGGTCGAGGCTGCCTGCGGTGGCCGGGAGCGGCCACTGCACTCCAGTCTGGGCGACAGAGTGAAGCTCCAACTCAAAAAAAAAAAAAAAAGAGTAATTGAAGCGAATATAATAAAGGAATGACACAGATGTGGGTAAAGTGTCGAGGGAAACCAGCCAGAGATGGTGAAGCAGCCCCATCCTTCCATTACCTTCTAGGTTGAAGAAGCAAGGGAACCGCACCAACAAAACTTGGCAAGAGGTATGTCCATAGGAAGACGCCATCAGGCAGGAACCATTACTGCTTTCAAGAGACAAGCAGGGGAATGTAAGTACCCCAACCACTCCCTCCCTCTAGCTTGCCAGTACCTTCCACTGTGGGAAGCCCCAATTAGCAATCAGAAAAGGGAGTTGACTCAATCCTTAGAGGTCAGTCCCCAGTACCACCTCCAAGGCAGACAGCAGGGTAGTGTTGATATCACATCTGCATTGAGATACATGTAAAGTATAAGGGTAGCAGGGAAATCAGGGATTCGTTGTAATTTGGAGACAAGATTGGAGGAAAGCTCCTATAGTATAGACATTTGCACAAAACTTTGAATGAGTAAGGGGTTTCTAAGAGGAGAAGGAGGTGAAGAATGAGAATGTGGTGTGTTCTCTCTCTTCTCTCTCTCTCTCTCAGAGAGAGAACCCACAAAATAAACAAAAGAATGAAAGTATAGACTGTGCTTTGAAAAAGCTGGTAGTCCCATGTGACAGGACCCAAGGGGCTTGGTGGCAAGGAAGGGACATGAGATAAGCAAAGTGAAAAAAAATGAGAAATACCTGATAGCCACGCTGCAGAGTTTAAACTCTATTTTTAAAAAATTTACTTTATTTTAAAGATGTAGGGTACAGTTCAGGATTAGGCATACAAGTGGTCATCGTACAGGTAAAGTTTGGGCCTATCTTTGGTACCCACTTTGCCTGGTTTGAGATCAGGTACCCTTATTAATGTTATGTGCCTCCCCCGTCCCCACTCCCCTGGCAGTTTCCAGCTGCTGCCAAGCCCTTTCTTATAGTATTATGATAAATGTTCAGGGTCTGCTTATGAGTGAGAACATATGGTGCTCAGTTCTTTGTTTCTGTGATAAATCCCTGAGTATTATGGACTCTAAATCCATCCAAGTTGCTGCGAAGTTCATAATTTTGTTCTTCTTTAGAATTGATGAATAGAATGAGTAAAATAAACTCTATTTTCTAGGTCAATGTTTCTCAAAATGTAATCCCCAGACCAGCAGCTTCAGGCTCAAAGTGAAGCTATAGCCAGGGTGATAATCACTAGCATTGTATTTCATTTGCCTCACTTCCTCTTGTTTGTCCTTGGGTTTCCACCTCCCAAATTGGCAGTATCTTAATCTTTACCTTGTTTTAGGCCCAATGGATAAAAATGACCCAATCAATAAAAAAGGAAATAGTACCTAACTCTCATGTGAAAATCAAACCAAATACTAAAGTATTTTTAAATTATTATTATTTTTTAATATATCGATATTTTTTATTTTGATATTGTGTGGTACAGTTATGGGTTAGGTATACAAATATGCTTCGTTCAGGCACCCTTGTTGATAAGGGGTGTCTCCCCGTCCCCAGACAGATATTGACTACCATTAATCCCACCTCCCTTCCCCTCCCCCCCATAGTTTCCCACCACTGTCAGTCCTTTTTTTGTAGTATTACGATGGATGTTCAAGGTCCGCTATATGAGTGAGAACATGTGATACTCAGATCTTTGTTTCTGTGAGAGGTCACTCAGTATTATTGACTCTAGTTCCATCCAGGTTGCTGCAAAGTTCATGATTTTGTTCTTTTTTATGGCTGCGTAGTATTCCATTGTGTATATGTACCACATTTTTTTTAATCCAGTCCTCTTTTGATGGACAGTATGGTTGATTCCAGGTTCTTGCTATTGTGAACAATGCTGCGATAAACATACATGTGCAAAATACTAAACTATTAAGGTAAGTGTAAGGAAGTCCAATAAAGGTATGATTTTTCTCCTAATGACTAATTTGATGCTATTTTTGGAGAAATTTATTTTTCCTTTGGAGATCTGCTGATCTGCTGGCATTCATTGAGCTGTGGGGGTAATTCAGAACTGATGCTGGACAGGTGAAACAGAAATTCTAGGAGCAAGGAAGGGGCAAGTGATACGGCATTGCATACGCTTTCTCCAGAAAGAGAGAAAAGACAAATTCTGCAGTCCACTTTTATCTTTACAGAATCTGTGTATTATAAAGGAAAAATACTAAGAAATGTGATTTCCACAGCCAAAAGTAGCAGCAGTGAAGTCAAGAGTAGCTAAGTTCCACTGTTCAGCAAACACCCACAAACAAAATCAACCAAAGATGTCCATGTACATAGTATACATTTGTATACAGTATGTGTTGCAGGAAACACCCAAAATCTCAGTCTAAGAAAAGAGGAGGGAGGGAAAGAACACAGGCAATCTGTTCTAAATATTGATTTAACTTTATTTAAAGCAGATACAGATGGTAATAACTTCCAAAGAGCAAAAGTAATAACCCAAATGCTCACTAACTACTCACACCATGAAACTTACATCTGCATACACTTTGCAATACAAAATTCAGGACCTAGCAGAAACTAAACTTTTGCTTCTTTGGAGCAAATCAGTCTAAAAGATTAAGAGACAGAAAACAACCAATTAAGCATAAAAGTAAAGAATTTAATGACTCACCAAAAACTAAATGTATAATCTGATTTTTTAAAAAAAGATGTATCATTTAGCTTAAGCTTCCTCAGCTCTCTGGACAAAGGAAAAGTTTCTGGATATTGAAGTTCTTCCAATAGGACTTCCTTGGAGAAAATTTGCTTTGAGTACTGTACTGGAATCCATTTCTGAGAGAAGCCCAGAATAAAGAGATCTCCCCATCCTGTACCATGCAGGACAAGTACCCTGTACCATGCAGGCAGTACAGTTCTGGGGTGCAGCAACCCTGAAGTCAGACTAGGTGACCTTTGGAAGTTACTTAATCTCTGTGCATCAGTTTTCTCAGTAATAAAATGGAGATGCTAATTGTACCAATCACAAAATAAGTTAAGACCTCCAGAAATATTAGCTATAATTATCTGACCAAAAGACTTACATGTGTTTGTCTGTGTTTTTTGAGGAAAAGAAGACATCTTGTTTACCATTTTTGGAGAGAGGCTGGGACATGGAAAATCAGATAATCTGCTATTTTAACTTTCATCAGACTTGGAGAACCATTTAAAATTAAAATTTGGCACACCACATATTCCTTATAGTAGAATTTTATATTCTAGAATTCCTAATGTTTCTTATGGTTATATATTCCTTATTCTTCTTGCCTTTTATCTGTCCAGAAAAAGTATCTGGGAGAAAGATTTTAATGGCAAAAATATGAATTGGTGGAACTGAATAAAGGGATGAAAAACTACTATTGAAAGATAAAGCCGAGCTCAGTGGCTCAGCCTGTAATCCTGCACCTTGAGAGGCTGAGGTGAGTGGATTGCCTGAGCCCACGGGTTCGAGACCTGCCTGGGCAACTTGGTGAGACTTCATCTCTACAATAAATAAAAAAATTAGCTGGGTGTGGTATCGCGCGCCTATAGTTCCAGCTACTTGGAAGGTTGAGGCGGAAGGATCACCGGAGCCCAGCAGGTCGAGGATGCAGTGGCCAGGAGCGGCCACTGCACTCCAGTCTGGGTGACAGAGTGAGACTCCAACTCAAAAAAAAAA